TGGTAAAGTGTATATTGATATACAAAAACGCACCGTGCAAGACCAGTCCCCAGTAGTGCAATGCACTAAGTGCCTGGGCTTCGGTCACAAGAGTGGTAATGACGCAAACTGCAAAAACTGCATGGATGTAAAAATAGATAATGCTGGCCATAATGCCTTTGACAACAGATGCCCAGTCTGCCAGAAATGGGATAGCCTGGCGCGGCTGAGCATCTGTTATTGCTAAAGTTGTCACGGGGATAAACCACGCAGCGACACACCAACAGGAAGAATCCCACAACTGGATAGTACAAGCGAACTTACAAAGAAGTAAGATCGCAACCCAAGACCTCATAACCGGAGCAATAGATAGGAAAGCTGCCATAGCAATGGTACAGGAACCATATGTGGGTTCAACAGGACAATTGAAGAGACATGCGGGTACAAGAGTTATACAAAAAGAGCAAAACAGAACAAAACCAGTAAAATCAGCTACAATTGTATTTGACAACAGACTAAAAGTAATAATTAATCCAAAACTACAGACTGAAAATATAACAACTGCAATAATAACAAATCAAAGACCATATATAGCTCTTGTATCCGTATATGTCGAACCAGACATCGATCTGGACACTTACCTGGAAGATCTCAGCAAAATCTTGAACGATCTTGATGGATGTGGGATTGTTCTTGGAGGTGATGTCAATGCGTGGAGTACTTGGTGGGGCAGTGTAGCTGAAGACCTTCGGGGCGCTACACTTTCTGCATACCTGGAAGAAAAAGAGTTGCATATAATTAATGAAGGAGATGAACCTACATTTGAAGTGCTGAGGGGCGGAAAACTATGCACAAGTAGAGTGGATGTAACAGCATGTTCGGAGCAACTTATACAAAAGATCACAAATTGGACAGTGAATAAGGATCTTATAAATTCCGATCACAAAGCCATTACATTCACTCTTACTATAGGAAAGCGAAATGAAGTCATGGAAAGAAAAAGTACACGGAAATACAAGACCAATAGAGCGGATTGGAAAAAATTTGACAGTGAAATCAACAGACTTATTGATTGTAGAGGAATATCCAAGGAGTATATAGAAAATATAAGTACAAAAGAAGAAATAGAAAAATTTATCGCGGACTATACGGAAATAATAGACTGGGCTTGTACAGCTTCAATGCCAAAAACGGGACAAAGAAAACCAGGACTTTACCCTTGGTGAAGTCAAGATCTAGCCAATTTAAAACATTATATGACTACCAAAAAACGGCGAATAAGATGTGCAGCTGAAAGTAGAAGACCATTAGTTGTGCAAGACTATCTCGTAGCTAAAGAAAAATATGAGACAGAAGTTAATAAAGCCCAAACGAGCAGTTGGAAAGAAAAGTATATACCGTATCATAAAGTCTGCATCAAAGCAAAAAGAAGACGAATTGCTAATCAAGGACGGAAAAGTGCTAAATCCAATAGAGTCAGCCGAGTGGATGGCAAAAACGTTCTTCCCTGAAGACAATAGATGGGAAGACACAGAATTCCACAAGAAGATTAGAAATAAAGCAGAAACTACCCATATACAGTTATCGCATGATACATTAGATAAGCCCTTAACAACAGAAGAACTTCAGCAAGTTATTAAATCATTCAACCCAAACAAAGCACCTGGCAAAGACGGACTCACATCCGATATCTGCGCTAGAGCAATAGATATCAATATAGATATATTCCTCTCAATTCTAAATAAATGCTTGGAAATCGGATGCTTCCCAGATGAATGGAAGAAGGCAGTTATCGTGACGATTAGGAAACTAGGAAAGTCAATTTATACCAACCCAAAATCTTATCGTCCGATTGGTCTTCTCCCAGTCTTGGGGAAGATATACGAAAAACTATTGATCAATAGAATAAAATACCACACACTACCGAAAATGAATAAAAACCAGTATGGCTTCGTTCCACAGCGCAGCACCGAGGACTCATTATTTGACATGACGAAAATAATAAAATGCAATCTAGGAAATCAAAAGATGATTACGGTTGTATCATTAGACATAGAGGGAGACTTCGATGCTGCGTGGTGGCCAGCAATAAAATACCAATTAAGGGAAAAGGGCTGCCCAGCGAATATAAGGAGAATAGTAAACGACTATTTCGCAAACAGAAAAATACACCTAAACTATGCAGATGAAAAAGTATAACTTCAAACAACAAAGGGATGCGTACAGGGATCAGTAGGAGGTCCCTTCTTTTAGAATCTCCTATTGAACCCACTACTGGACGAACTAGAGGAACAAGAAGTGCAGGTGCAAGCGTTTGCGGATGATATTATCCTTATGTTCGTTGGCAACAATGCAGCTGAAATTGAAAATCAAGCAAATAAAGTGCTCTCCCTGGTGTTTGACTGGGGTAACAAAAATAAGCTCAAGTTTTCACCGCAGAAAACGCATGCGATAACTTTCACTAAAAAGGAGGATGCATGATCAACTCGGCAAAAGAAGTTAAAATACTAGGCGTCACTTTTGACGAAAAACTCACGTTCAATTCCCATGTAGCAAACGTATGTAAGAAAGCCATTAATATCTACGGGCAACTTACTCGAATGGCGAAAACTACATGGGGATTGAACCCCGCAGTAACAAGGACAATATACACGGCTGTAATAGAGCCAGTAGTGTTATATGCTGCCAGTATCTGGGCACCAGCTGCTGAAAAAATTATGGTGCAAAAGCAATTCAACACTTTGCAAAGAGGCTTCGGCCAAAAAATTGCTAAAACATATAGGACTGTGTCTTTGAATTCTGCACTAATATTGGCCGGATTATTACCTCTTGACCTTAGAGTAAAAGAGGCAGCGAAAATTTATAAGGCAAATCAAAACCGTTATATTGACCACCTACCAGGTAGAGAGGTGGAAACCCGGCTCTCCTATGAAAACCACCCACACCCTTCAGTGACAAACTGCTTCAACTTTGAAATACTAGATCGAACAAATATAAACATCTTAGAATCACCAGTATTAATATACACTGACGGAAGCAAAGTGGAGGGCAAAGTTGGAGCAGCTTTGTCGCTGTGGAAAAATGGGCGCGAAGTTAAAACCGGGAAATACAAGCTGGAGGATTACTGCTCAGTATACCAAGCAGAGATGTATGCTGTATATATGACCACTGAAATGGTAAAATCTGGAAAATATACTGAAGTGGTAATCCTCTGTGACTCCAGATCAAATTTAGAAACCCTTAAAAATGGTTACTCACTACACCCACTAGCAGTCAAAATCAAAAGGAACTTAAAAGAAATCATAGAGAATAACCAAGTGGTGAAACTTGTCTTGCGCTTGTCGCGCTAGTGGTTGCGCGCACACGTAGGGTACGAAGGCAACGAACGAGCAGACACTCTAGCTAAAGATGCTGCCCTCCGCAAGAAAACCGCAGCAGCCTACGATCTTTGCCCCGTGTCTCATGTTAAAAAACTGTTAAGAGAAGAATCTTTGGAAGCTTGGCAGAAGAGGTATGACGAAGCACAAACGGCAGCACTAACAAAGGTGTTCTTCCCGTATGTCCGAACTGCTTATAAAGCGATAAGAGAGATTAAGCCTAGTTACTTCCTATGTCAAGCATTCACTGGCCATGGAGGATTCGCACAGTACCTCCACAGATTCAAGAAAAAAGACTCACCCGAATGTGACTACGCACCCGGCGTTGAAGAATCAGTGCTTCATCTTTTGTTTCACTGCCCCAAGCACACACTGGCTAGAATGGACCTGTCAAATAAAATATAAAATAATAAAAAAATAAACAAAGATACATTACACGAAATAATACAATCGGAAAAAATTAGGGGTCCATTATTAGTATACATAGCGGAAATTGTTATACATTCCTGTAACAGGAATAAAGATACAAATCTATAAAAATCATATATATATTATTATGAATCAATTACATATTATTAATTGGAAATTAAAAATATACCAAAAGCTTTATAAATTGAATATAACAAAGTTAACCAAAGTTTCTGACTCTCGTCAGAAGAATACCTAGTCTGCAGAATTATATAACCCTGGCCGCTCCCGCTAACCAGCCCACCGCTCGAGGAGTAACTGTCTCCACCAGAAGGAGAAGAAGAAAAGATAAAAGGAGGCCTCAAGCGGCAGTTGGCACCCTCCCACTCACCACCCCCATTGCCCAGACGACGGAAGTCCAGTCCAGGCCCAGAGGCCCCCAAGCCCAATATACCCCACGTTGACCCCAAGTGGCTAGTACACCAGGCCGGTTCCGCAACCGGCATTCCATCCACCCCCGCCCCAAAGACCGGCATTCCATCCACCCCCGCCCCAAACGCTTCAATACCCCAAGGGGCCACCCCCAACTCCAGCCCCTCCCGCAATTCCCAACGCAGATGGTGCTATACCGCCTCCTGGAGGATATCAGCAAGGGTGTGGACCCCACTCAGGCAATCCTGCGGCCTTGACCTGGCTGCTCCAGAGGGCCACCTCAATATCCGAAATCAGGTTCATTTATGACCGCAAACCAGTACTATGCTAAAATTAACTTCATCAAAGTATAGGCATAACATTAAATCATTACATTGTTACGTCAGATTTGCTTTAATTTATTCGGATTATGGAATTAAACCTTACTGTAGCACAACAAGCATACCTCAACGGTAAATAAAATTATGTAAATATAATGGTTCGTATCATTTAACTCCGGCTAGTGTGTACCATTTGCTGAACGAACTTCGTTTGCACAGGAACAGATTGCATAATAATTTCAAACGGTCCCACCCGGAACCCAAACCTGGAATCTAAGACGGTTTCGCTTGTCCCTTAAAAAGTGTTTAACAATCAGAAATGTTTTAATAATCTAGGTTCTTCTGCCAAACTTGCTTATATCGTTCAAATTTACAACAACCACGGTTAATGTAAACATTTGAAGTTAGTTTTATTGGTTTTGTTTATTGTAAGTACCTATTTCGTGTCATACCAAAGGATTGATTCAATCTGTTTGTTTTTCAGGTAGCGTGGATAAAATCCGACTCAAAGGCTATTCTAGCCATTCACACAAATATGGTGGCGCTAAACCCCCGGCTCTCTGTCACGTACAACAACCACAATACTTGGAAACTGCACGTGAGCAACGTACAGGCCAACGACTCAGGCACCTACATGTGCCAAGTGAACACAGACCCTATGAAGAGTCAGGTAAGTTCAAATTCCGTTGTCAACACCCACGAGTTCCCAAATAATTCGGCATGTTTTATTGCGTTCCGAGTTAACCTAATCTAAGATTGCACAGTTTTACTAGACTTCTTTATTTTATTTCTTCTTTAGCATGTGTTCAGTTTAAAATGAATGTGTGTGGTAGATACTCTTATTGTTTTTTTGTTATTTTAAATTTGACTAGTCCAATCCAATCGTCTGTCAGCAGATTTATGTACATAACAGAAACGGAAAGTTTTTGTCAACTATGATTGATACTAATCATAAAGCTTTTTGCCCATAAAAGCTATACCAAATATTGGACTGGCAATGTCATAAAAATATAGGTCTTTTTAGTGCTTGACTAAAAAGGTCCTAAATTTTTTATGCCATAACATTACAAGCTTCTCTGTCGTCGTTTTTCAACATACTTTTCGTAGGTATTTATAACTTTTATTATTACCATCTGGTCTACCTACTATCATTTTATTATCCACATGATGATAGCGCGGTCCGACGGTTTTAAGTTCCGGCGCACAGAGGCGTTAAAAGCCATTTTTGGTTACTCAACCGCGAGCGACCCTTAACTTCTACGGTCGTAAAACGCGTAAACAACTACACCCAAACGAGCTTCTCAAAATAAAAAGAAAATACGCGGACGCCACGAATGTCCCGTGTATTCGTATTTACTATAAAAGCACATGGGCTACTTGCATAATGTCGTCTTGTTATTGTGTTAATACCTTCGATTAAAAATTATATGGTGAAAACGAACTCTTGTTCCTTTTATAAATTATACGTAATACTTGAAAAAAATACGATAAAGGTGAAAAAAGTAAAATGTGAAATCAACCTCATGACCCACAAAATATTCTTTTTTATCAGTCATTACCATAGCCAGCGAGTTACTTCGTTTTATATTAACCAAACTAATTAAAAATAAGCTCTCATGCCTCAAGTGTGGCTATATTTACTGAGACGCATTTTACGCGCTGACCCGTTATCTATAGAATTGTTGATCGAAGGTTGATGATATCCACAAAATTCTAGCTTATATGCCGACTTGCCCCTCTAGCATGACCACTGAAACGGGATATGATAAAGCTTTTTATCGAGTCTCAACTGTCAAATTCCACTATAGTCTGACGGTTAATGCCGATATAGCGCTTTATCATATCCCGTTTCGGTGGTCATGCTAGAGGGGCTGGAGTTGCAGATATACAAGTTAAGTTAAAAACAGGACACAACAATCATTCGAATTCTTTCATTTTGTGTTCTGCAGTGCTATTCAGAAAGAACAAAATCTCTTTTCACCGCAAAATCCGCGGTGTGGTTTATAAAACAAGTGAATTTCAAATCACACGAAGCGGATTCTGTGAAAGTGAGTTTGTTCTTACACAATAGCACTGCTGTTAAAGGGTTCCATAATCAAAGGATGTATGTTCTTTACGTTTGTCCTTCCGTCTGTCAACACACTGTATCATAAACCGTAATATTCAGATACACGGACCTGATTCAGATAGAGTTTTGAATATTTTCACAGCATGTGTATTTTAATTGAGACAAAGAAACTTCAGCCATTACAAAATAAAATGATCTATATATCTGATTTATACAACAGTATTTTAGTGTTTAATTTAATCTTAATAAAACCGGCCAAGTGTACGGTTCCGTAGTTGCCTGTCATTACCAAAATGTATTTGGGCAGGAGACTTTATTTTCTGTTTTGGAAATAAAAAAATAATCAATTAATATCAAACTATGTATCTCCACTAAAATATCTAAATTTAAAATCAAACTGCTTCTCAAACGCAAAATCAAAACGATATTAATTTTATTTAAATACGAATGAAAGCCGTTGCCGTTGGTACTCGCGGTAGCTTTGTGGAATTGAGGTTTATAATAGTTTTTTTAGATTTTCTTGCAATGATAGGTTTCCCTATAGCCCTTCTCGAACAAAAATTAGCACTTTAAAGTTCAATATTTCGCAAACGAATCCCCAAATTGAAAAATAGTTATAGGAACTCCTAATTATTTTTTAAGGATCTATTCAAAGATACCTTACTGGATGGGATAGACAATGAAAAAAAATCATCCCCAGGTTACATGTAGATAGCTACCGTAACAAAAAAAACTAAAAAAAAACTACCATATTGTTGGCGTGATTGATATACATATCACCACAAAATTATAACTGTCTAGTGATAAAACATATGGACAGACGGACAACACGAAACTATAAGGGTTCCTTGTCAGAATTACGGAACCCTAAAAACGGTGAACTTGACCTCTAGGTAATTTACAACTAAGTAGATATTGTTAAGACCTTTTTTATTTTGTAATTACTTTTTGTGCCCAAATCCGTTTGTCAATGCCGACCGCCTCTTTTAGGCTTCTAGCCTTAATGGGGTCCATTTCCTAGATGCGAACAGTTCGCAAAAATAATTAAATTACAAAACGACTACCCTGCTAAAAAATAACCTAACAAAAAACAATACCTGAAAATTGCCTTACCTGTAATCATAAAGATATTTTTATATAACAGAACATAAAGCCACGTTTAACTTAAATAAGCATCAAATTGGTAATTCGTTCAGTTGAGAAAATGCAATCCATAGTGGATCATTAATTATATTAAATTAACAAATTAAATTTAAGGAACGTAAATATATAGTGAGCATCTCAGTTTAACGTATTATAGAGATTGCCTGTATAGAATTGGACCGGCTTGTTGTACTGAGCGTATAGAGACCACCGTCGGGGTTGCATCAATTGTTTTGAAACCATTATGGATGAAGTATTAAAGAAAGCACTCTACAAGCATACGGATGTTTGTGGTGACTTTAATAATAATTTATTAGAAAAGTCTAACTTATGCACATACTTCGATAAATGATTGGTTTCTCTGCGGTCGGCTACATACCGCGCAGTCTTAAAGCAACAGCTCTGTGAATGCGGCAACTCATTATGGTAGTGTGTATTGTGTGTTTGCAAGGATGCGATTGTGTGTGAAAAATTGTGTAGCCAGTCGCTCAATTGTTACCAAGTAAAGGGAAAAATATTTAAAGCTCTGGTCTATTAGTTTTAAATGTAGCTGAATGTAATTGACTCTAGTATTCAGATTTATTATATATTTATTTACTTTTTCTTAGAACATTTACTCTAGTATATTTTTTTTTTGCAGCCGATTTTTTTTCATCCATTATCATTTTGATCGTATGCATATATTTTATATATGTGGTAAATAATTATCTTAATAAAAAAAACAGAGGATTGATGAAAAACTGTGAACAACCATGAGATTTCTTAAAAGATTTTGCTGCTCTGTTTGAAAAAAAAAAATAAGTACTTTGTGATCGGTTTTGTAGTGATAACATTGCTACCTGCTATTTGAAATTAAAAAGTTTTTATCTTATTAATAGAAAAATATTGCCCCACAGATGGGCTACTTATCCGTGGTGATACCACCGGACATAGTGGACACGGTAGCTGAAGGAAGCACTGCACAGGAGGGCGGCAGCGTGCGGTTGACATGCACCGCGACGGGAGAACCGCCGCCGACTGTCATGTGGCGACGGGAACACAACAGGCCCATCGTGTTCCGACACGATGGTGGCAGGGAGAGAAGAGGTCAGTCAGTCAGTTATGGTTTAGGTCTGTCGCAAAAGGCAGCAATGCATAGGTGGGCGGCTTCATGCGGTTGGCATGCATCGCGACGGGAGAACCACCGCCAACTGTCATTTGGCGATAGGACCACAACAAGCCCATCGTGTTCTGACACGATGGTGGCCGGGAGAGGAGAGGTCGGTCAGTTAGTGTTTATATATATTGCTGAAGGTAGCACTGCGCAGGAGGGCGTGAGTGCAGAGGAGTGCGTGTGGTTGACATGCACGGCGACGGCGACGGGAGAACCAACGCCGAAATGTCATGTGGCGGCGAGAAATGCGAAACGAACATAGTCTGCATAATGTTCGTTTTGCATTTTCCTGTCTAAGCGTATACGTAGGTACGTAATCGAAGGCCGTAAGATATACTAGAAAAGTATGTAGGCACTTTTTCATGCCACACAAATGATAGAATCCCAAGAAATTTGATTGAAACGGACTAAATGTAAAGTTTTATATTAGAAACCTATTTTTATTGATAGAAAAAGGGCGCTTTAGCTAACGTTAATTGCATATTATTCAAACATATAAGATCTAGAGCTATGTAAGACAAATCAATAGAAAGTAATTTAAAATGTCAAAATTTCACATCTATGTACTGACATGATAAAAGGGCAGGGACCTTCTAAATGGCTGTCAAATTATCTGATTCATACCACACGCATACTTGAAAAAGTCTTCAACCACCGGTGATTGTTACGAGGAACCTAAAACTCGTTAATAATAATGTCGAGGTCAGCACGTTCCGGTTATTATCGCGAAATTGTTTTACGATAATTCTCTAATTTTAAGTCCACTCGAATGAGATCTATTAAGTTCAAAGGGTACTTTAGCCTGCGTTGTTTCAGAGCCCTTCAACTATAAAAAATAATGGGATGTATTTATTAAAATCTAATGGAACGTAACAAACCTACATATTTATTTTGGAAAATAAAGATGATGATGATAATGCGACGAGATGGCGCGGCCTTGCAGCCTAAGATATACTAGAAGAAATTCGACACGGCCATGGAGGCCGCATCAGCATAATTGGTCAGTGCATCCGGATAGCATAGAGTGCGGGATCAAGTCCCGTCTGCTAGCTGGCTACGTAGATTTTTTTAAGTAAAATAAGATTTAATTATCAAGTAGTTAAATGCTCAAAAAAATATAATATAAAGATGATATTTTCTCAGGGTCTACCTGTTAACGTAAAACTTTTAATGTCGTAATATTATTATGCATATCAGCGGATGACATAAGCCTTATTTTGTAGAAAATCATTTGGAATTCACTAATTAATCAAACATTTAATCGTCTTTCGGCATAAAAAATACTTTTCCTTATATATTTATCAATTATCTACTGTGACAGCCGCTTCGTGGCACGCTCGTTTCGTTCGCTTGGCTCGCGCTAAGATTACGTCATATCCCTAACCTAACGCAAATATGGGTTATGCTAAGCGAAAATATGCAGAATAAAATTCTACCATCTTAAAAGTATGCTATTGTGAATTCAGACACATAAAAACTTGGCCAATTCATAATTATACTTAATAAATAATATGCCTAACAAATATTCGTTTAAAGAAGGTTATGCATTTGAAGAAATGAATTTCTGAGCAACAAGATATTGCCATGTAGAGAGAACCCATTTTTTCAATGTACTACCCATTATGATATTGCCTATCCATTTATCAATAGTTATCATTACAACCTGCGCCTCAACTTTCACAAGTCATCCCTAATTTAAACTTCGAATTACTTTGACATAATATCAACGCAAAATACATTTTCAGGTCCAGTTTTTGAGCACAAACTTTAACTTAATAACAACTTAATTTAGGTTGCAAACTTTCCGAAGGTTACTTACCTTAAATTGGGCGTTCGTTCATTAGGGCCACAGTACTGTGTTAAATAGGATTTAACTGGACTAATTCCTTAGACTCGGGAGTGACACACGCAAAACAGTGCGAGTTTTATTGGACTACTAGGTGTAATCCTCTGCCTTGTTTGCATAAACCGGCTTAATTAGGGTAAGTATAATAATATTAGTGTAACAAAAGGTAGAATTATGTTTTTTTTAACGTGTTCTACATAAATGTTCACGTCTTTTTAACTAGAATAACGGTTTGATGCCTTTTTTTTATTTGAGTGTAAGTACCTATATAATTACATTATTTCAGCGTTTCAAGTCTAAAATACGGCGACAGACTATTTGGAATTCATTTCGAATGAAGAAGAAATTTTCACTATTCTACAGTTTTAAAAGAGGAATTTCTCACATTTGATTCGTAAATGTATGAGCGCCTTGTCACTTTTTTACGAAAGACGTTTGAAACTTATACCTTGAATTTATGAAGTTATTTTTCACATTTTGTTATTTATTTAGCCTGCGATGCAAATTGTATTTAAAAGCAGGCGGGTATTATCCTTTTAAGGAGCTGTTTATGGGTTTAAAAATCATCAGCTCATTTCGTATTTGAGAAGAGAGTCTTACTAACATTCTCAGATACTATTGATTTAAAATTGGGTACACTTATACTTTGGTGGTATTTCTAAGACATCGTAACCTATAGATGATACTGCACATTAAGTAATATAAGCGGTACTAAACTTCTCGGCAACTTACAGTAGACATAGCGTATTTGGGCTAATGGGAATAGCTCCAATTAATAATGATGATCAAAGCTCAAAAACTTCCACACTTTCAATTGACCTGAAAATCACAGGCACTTTGATAATATTTCTATAAAATATTATAACTGACTTGATGCTGAATTATCTATTAAAAAATCCTCCAAACGATTCGATTGATGTAAAAAAAGGGTGTGATGTAATATAGTGTCTCAATATTTTATGAATTCTAATTACCTACAGGTAGGGTATTGTTTCTTCACAAGTAATTTTAAAAATGTTGAAATGAAAAAATATAGTTTAGATAAATCCCGAAACCTAAAATTCATTAGTGGAAATAATCATTGTTACTTTGTGATTATTAGGTCGCAACATTATTATATTTATACCTACTTATTAATGCTATACCGAAACACCATCAAGTCGCGGGAATGTGATAACAGAACGCACCAAATAGGAAAGTGTTAAGAGTTTTATAAAGCAATAATAATTGAAATAACTTATTTTTCGCGCTTCTCTAAGTTGACGATAATTTGGGTCTAACTTTTAGTCAAAACCTGTAAAAATTGCGCGTCCCACTATACAACCGTCGTGAAGTTGGCAGGGTATTATATAAATAAATAAAAATCAAATAATTTAAGCAGCATCTACGAAGTTTATTTTGTTCGAAACTTTTCTATCATATTTGAACTTACTTCTTGGATACAACTTACAACTCTCCAAGTCAGAACTTAGAGAGCAGTGAGATATAAATTTATAAACAAAATTGCGTACAAGGCGCAAATTGTTCCTTTAGTTACAATATGATTCAGCTTCAAGTTTATCTAGTTAACGCAGGCGATGGCTTGGAAAATATTGGGCGCGCAGTAGCTTGTTTTCTTAGACGCAACGATCTCAAAGCGCTCTTTATTCGTTTGAAATGTTATGATTATATCCGACTTAAGTTTGTTAGAGGCACTCTGGAGAAACGATATCATACTACATGGATTATCATGACTGCTAAACTTAGGATTTGGGTAAGTGCTATATTAAGTTGTACATTTAGACTTTGCGAGGTCTTTCTCTCTCTCTCTTCTCATCTTTGTAGTTTATATTTACTCACAGGCTTAATCAAACTGAATTTATTTCACCTAACGTAATGCTTTTATATAACCTATAATACGCACTTGCATAAACATCTACTTCGCTAAAGAAGCACAGCCGAGGATGAAACAAGATAGCATCTACCTGGATAAGCTCCGGCCTTTTCCAAGTTTGTTCCTCATTGAATTTATCAGCACCTACCTATACAGTCTCTTTATAGTAAATACTTACATGTTTTACTTTGATAGTTTGATATTTATTATACCAATTTACGCACAAATGCAACAATTTAGTTTATTCTAATAAGTATATTAAGTTTGCAACGGTGATTCCTACCCAAATATAAATATAAAAGAACAAATATTTACTAATTATAAACCCACATTCGTGTTTAAATACCCCTCATCATACAACAGTTGCATAAATTACTATTATCAAATTTGTAATATGAAACAGCAAAATCGGTTCCCATCAGGAAACCGCACATGAATTTATATGGTATCAGTCACAAAAATATATATCTGTGGTTATCAGTTATATTGCATGAACATTACTGAGTGGGTACATTTATTACTACAACTTTGTATGACACGAATCATTAGTTGCTCGTTATTTATGGTAGTATGAAAAGGATTGCCTGTAAAATCGACTTGCCAAAAGCCAGAATAAAAGTTCCCTCGTCAAAACGAACGCCGGGTTTCACAATGCGACGCAGCAGCACCACTCTACGGACACTGTTCTCATTGTTAACCCTTTAGAGTGAGCGTACCCTTTCCCGGGGGTGCCGAAAGCCGCTATTTTATTCGAGTCTTTTTTCCAATTCAATCTACTTTGCATTGTCCTCGACACTCGCATGAGGCATTACACCTAGACCCCCCTGCCCCCTGCACTTGCTTCGCAGCACTTCTCTTTCCAATGGATTTTATTTACGCAAGAGAAAGCAAACTCTAATACATATACCGCTGAAGACAATGAGACGCCTCGGTACGGGATATAAAAGCTTTGAGTTAGTCTCGCGTTCCTTTTAGTGGAATTCCTTTGAAATGAATCGAATAATTCGCGCAGTTTATGCTTATAAACGGATTTTTATATGCGAGCGCTTTGTTAAGGGTGTGTAAATAATGATCAACGTTTCCGTACAAGGCGAACATTTGTTGTTCCGATAGCGGAACGTCGCGGAACTACCTTCGCCAACGTCGGTTATGCTAATGGGAAGTGTAGTCTTTTTATAGTTATGAGAGCGCAGTCGGATGTTTTATCATATTTGATTACCACATTATTTCCTTTTGTACAACCTAGTGAGTTTCGTTTCATTAATACGTTCATTATTCTACGCACGCTACAACCGCCATACTTCCTCACGCTATCTGATTACTCCCAAAATCACGACTCGTAATTTACTTTCCGGGATTTAGTCTTCATTTTTTATGGAACTCCATATTTTCCTGTAGATAACACGAGAAAATTAACGTTTACTTTAGTAGCATTTGGTGTTCTTTACCATTTACGCTTAATGATTCAATATTTCATTTCTTTAATGAATAATTAAATAAGGAAAATTTCAATTAGGTACTATATTTTGATGTAGTTACAAAG